ACCTCCTCCAGCTCTTCTTGGAAAAGCCTGAAGTGCTCCAAGGCTAGCTGAGAGATGCAGTCCCCCGAAAGTGTCCTTGGTGGTCCCCTGGGCCTCCTCCTGGTTGGATGTTCCTGGAACATCTAGGCTTCCAGGGGGCATCTGAAAGCGATGTTTAGGCCACCTCAAATGACTCCTCTCTAAATGGAAAAGTGGGTCTATCCAAGGCTCTCCTGAACATTTGAGCTCCTTACCCTATCTCTAAGGGAATGCCCCACCACCCTATGGAGAAGCTCATTTCAGCCACTTGTGTCAAAGATATTGTTTTTTTTTTTGGTCATGATTCCGATAGAATAACCATAGGTGAGGGTAGGAATATAGATTGACCAGTATATTGAGAGCTTTGACTTTTCACGCTATCTCTTCACCACAAGAGGCCGGTACCTTGTCAACATTATAGCAGTAGGCACATTGCTCCATCTATCAGCCTCCTGCTCCACCTTCCCTCACTCTTGAACAGGATTACAAGATACTTGAGCTCCTCCACTTAAGGCAGGAACTCTCCTCCTATCTGAAGGGGACAGGTCACCTTTCTATTGTTGAGCACCATTGTCTAAGACTTGGAGGAGCTAATTCACATCCCAGTCACTCAAAACTCAGCCTAAGATGTCCTGGTCACAAGTGCACTGGTAGACATCCTTATGCTTGAACATTATGTTTAGCAGCAGAATCACTTTGTATTCAGCCAAGTCCCACCAGGAAGAGCCCGACCACCAGGTCCTCGACAATGAACCCTAACCCTAGACCTTGCTCCAGGGTGGGGTCCGGCTCTGCCATACTGAGAGATGTCACATACCTTTATCTTTTTGTCATCATGTAAGCTTTTGAACCTGTCATTTTTTTTAAATAACAGATTAAATGATCAGACACTCTGTGCTTAAAGCCCAAGTCAATAAGATTTACTCTCATCTCTCATATCTCATCAAGAAGTGCAGACTGGAGCCTCACAGTTAAGTGAATAATAGCTACTACGGACCCGTGAAGTATCATAAATATGACAAGGTTAATATCTTGCTCTAGTCTAAATTCCCTGTCAGGTAATAATGTGCTGACTGATAATTCAGTTTTTTTTTTTTTTTTTTTTTATTGATTCTAAGAAGTTACAAGTATGTCCTCCATATATCACATCTGTGAAGAATAACAGCAGCTGATTATGGTTACAATGGAAAGAGAAATGGAACGGTTACAATGTAATGCAAAATGAAAAAGTATTTCCAGAAATGCTTTTTCATTATCAAATCTTACATTTAAAATTTAAATTTGGTATGTATTTGCTGGGGTACATTTTGAAAAATAAATCTAAAATGTCTTTTTCTTTTTCATTTTAATTAAGATGAGCAGTCTTGAAAAAAAATTAAAATGCAAATAAGATGATTAATTACTAATTTTATTTATGAGTCAAATAATGCAGCCACATTCTTAAAATGGAAAAGCGTTTCTGGAAATGCTTTTCCATTGTTAAATTTTACCTTTCAAATTGAATTTGGTATGTATTTGCTGGGGTACATCTTGAAAAATAAATCTCAAATGTCTTTTTCTTTTTCATTTTAATTATGTAAAAGGATGAGCAATGTTAAAGAAGAAAGTAAAAATGCAAACAGGGTTATTGATTACTAATTTCATTTATGAGTCAAACAATGCAGCCACATTCTTAAAATGAAAAAGCATTTTCAGAAATGCTTTTTCATTTGAAATATGGTAACGATTTGCTTCCATAAAATACTGCTCTCCGCATCATCATCTGCCATGGTTGTTGTTTTTCTTGCTGCTACTGCATAGCAAGACGCAGAATATGTATCTTTGCCGGGTATTACTGATGTTCAGGTCAGATGAATCCGACCT